CGACTAATTAATAAGTCGAACCGCTGGTCACTACCTTGCTATTTGTATTTATTAATCGTGCATTTTGATTTCACCCTCAGTCCACAATATTTCAGCGGCACCCACAAAGACGGCAGTGAAAGTACCCACCGGAACCTATAGGTGTAGGACGTGAGCGACTCGCGAAGTATCTTCGACAATATTTACTCCGGAGAGTTTCGTCCGTCCGGCACAGTTTTAATGATTCAAAATATACATTTCTTCTATATTTTTGTCGCATTATGTCACGAAAATAGTTACAGCCTATATACGTTCTACTGCTGGGCACAGGCCTCCTCTTATATCTGAGAGGGTTTTAGAGCAAGGAAATGTCCGCACTGCGCCAATGCATGTTGGAGGACTTGATATGTCTTCGAAATATTTTTTTCTTACTAGACATGCAGGTTTCCTCACGAATCACAATGTTATCCTTCACCACCGAGCAGGATCAGTACTTAAAATTGCAATTAATGACTTCATTGGGGCCGGCGGGGATCGAACGAGGGTCGCACGCAAACGAAGTCACGGGCACATTTAGTTTGTTTAATATATTCCGTACAAAAATAGATTATGGGTGGTATTTCAACCCGCAATATGACCCCAATAAAAATATATACAAAATTCATTAGCATAGTACAATTCGATTACTTAAAGTTAAAGTTACAGCCTATATACGTCCCAATTACTGGGCATAGGCCTCCTCTCATTTTCTGAGAGGGTTTTAGGGCAAGGAATAGTCCGCCGCGCTGCCCCAATGCGTGTTGGCGAACTTCACATGTCTTCGAAATATTTTTTTTCTTATTTCTCAGACATGCAGGTTTCCTCACGATGTTTTCCTTCACCGCCGAACGCGTGGTAAATCAGCACCTAAAATTGCAATTAACAATTTCATTGGTGCCGGCGGGGATCGAACCCGGTTTGCTCGCGTATTGTGAAATTTACAGCGAGCGCTAACCATCTGAGATATCACGGCTCTACAATTCGATTATATGAGATGAATTTTTTATTTTATTTATTTATTAAATCAACAACGATCATAGGGTAAAATTACACTCATTCAATTCAATTCTAATACTAAAATTATAAATCATTACTAATATTAATTTTATCAAATGCGTAAGCATTTATAATAATATTGAAAATATAATAATAATAAAATAACATGAACCGATATCACCGTTACATACACCATACCCAACTCAATTATATATTAACAAAACTACTGACAAAACTTATCATAATGATGTAATAATAATAAGAATAAATTTTTAGATTTTTGGACATTTTTTATTTATATATCCATTTCGATATTACCATTCCGTATGGCGAGAACCTCGTGAAAGCCGAATCAGATAAGTGAACAAAATATCTGGACCTGTGCTCACGAGGTGACCGACATGTGGGGTGTTCTGCCGACCGAAATTATTCCTGTAGTCGTCTCTGCAAACGGGCTAATCCCAGTCAGCCTCTCGGGTCATCTGAGGCGGCTGGGACTACATGACGAACGGCTCCAGGCTCAAATGCAGAAGGCGGTGCTCCTCGATACTGCCTGCATCATCCGCCGTTTTCTTTCCCTTTCCCCCTAACCCTCGGCCGTTTGGTCTCCCCTGCAGAGGGCCTCCATCTGGTTGGGCTTTTATTTATTTGTTTATGTTAGTATACTTAATTCATATTTACGTATATTTATCATTTCCTTTTATATATTTATCCAGCCCAACCAGATGTGAATACTCTGTCAAGGGAAGAATAACGACTCCATACAAATTTTATGAGGAAATTTTTTCTTACCGACGGGCGCCATCTGTGAACAGCCCACGAAAACTAAACAGTAGAAGCTAGGGCGGGAAATTCAAAGCACAGTGTATTTTACAGATAGGTATACGTTGCATTGCATTTTAGGCACAACTACAGTGCGTTTCTCGATATTTTCCTTCAAGACGGTCAATTGTTGTTGTTGCTCAGCAATTGACATCTGAACAAAATCATTATCGAGAAACACAGTGTACATGTGCATACAGTGCTGAAAGCAATATTTAAAGAAAGAGTCTAATAAAACAAACATTAGTGTATGACTTTTTTATTTCGCATGATATTAATTACAATTTATCAGATTTTCATTTGGGCAACTATGACAAATTTTACATAAATAAATGTTTTTGAATTATATATACATTTGGTTCAAAAGGTGTTCACAAGTCACAAGTAACGTGTATTTAAGCAGTTAATCTTAAACACAAATTAATCGTATTCTAAAAATGAGATTATACATACAATTTGAAAATAGAGCAAGCATATTCGAACATAATTACAAATATAAAGTAACAACCTATATACGTCCCACTGATGGGCACAGGCCTCCCCTCATTTCTGAGGGTTTACAAATATGAACAGGTCTATTGCATATAATTTTAATATCAAAATCTAGACAAGGTCAAACACAAGTTACATTACATTTATTACATTACAAGTTACACGTATCATATTATTTAACATGTATTATTTCAGTTTAATGTTATAAATCAAGAAATGGTTAGGAAGAGACATACTTATTATTTTGGTTGAAAGCAGACAAATCTGACAATGTAGCTACACTATCGCCTATTTATAAAACAAGTTTTAAAATAATAAATAAAGCATAATCAGCCTATAATGTCCCCACAGCTGGAACACACGCCTCATCTCTGTGAGATGCAGTGGGCTGTAAACTACCATGCCTGCCCATTGCAGATAAATCTGCACTAAAAAGAAAAATTAACGTAATTTATTCAAGTATAATTACTTGTCATGACTGACTGCACATCACCAGAACAAGTTCCTTTTGTGAAATAGATATCCACTATAAAATTTTTTTTGGAAATTCTATTCACATAGGCGATAGAACAGAAGTTTGCATGAAAGTCCAACACTTATTAAGTAAAATCAATGTGAACTGGTATTTGAACAACAAATAAAACGCGTTTTTGAGCGATTTTGGAAACTAGTACGTGGTAGAGCCATGCTGCAGTTATATTAGTAGTATAGTTGTAGTACGAATGGGTTGGCTCGACCGGGGGAAGGACCACGCTCACTCAGAATACCAGCGTAAAATAGCAGCTTAATGCTGCTGTGTTTCGCGTATGGTGAGTGTAGAGAACCGGAGACCCTTTTTACTGGGAACGAGGCATTCCATCTTAGTCCTCACGGATGAAAACGCTTCTGCATTTTGATTTGTAATCAATCGAGAATACATGTAGGTGTCTGTGGGCTACGACATCCACTTACCATCAGGTGGAATGTGTGCTCGTTTGTCACCCTGTCCTATTAAAAAAAATTAACCCTAAAGCGTGAGGATTGAAATTTCGTATGAGAATCTGGTGTTTTTGAAGATTGAGTATTGAACATGAATAGTTAAAGAGTATTTAATACAAAAATAAATAAATATGTGTTGTATCATCTTGGATGAAAAAGTCTAAAATTCAGGCGGATGAATTTGTGTAAAGGCGCTAGTTTTACATTTATTTATGTATAATTATGTTCATTTTTTCTTTTTAGTGCAGATTTACTCGCCTCCTCAGAAAATATTCTGTTTTTTAAAATACAGTATCTCTTAATTGAAATATGGAAGACACTATTAAGTATGAATGTAATATTTAATTGTTTGTGTTCCATGCAATCTTCGAGGAAGTCGTAATTTATAGAGTCCTTTAACAATTGTGTTATTCTTATTTTAATATTTTCTTTATATGCCTCTTTTTCTAAAAATATATTTATAACACTTGCACTTTTCTCTACACAAGCTTTTAAATTCTTTGAGGCGTATGTAAGATTTTTTTTACGATTTCATAATTTTTGAATTCTATAAAATTATGCACTCCCTCTGGCGTTTCGGAGACTAGATTTTTTTACAATTATTACAACTGTTTTTATTTTTTTTAATAATGAAGCCACAGACATAAGCACATCCTTGTAGTTCGCTACTTCCTTCCTCCAAGTTTTCTTCCAGAGAGGAAGAAATACTTTCTTCAATTGCTTTTTCTATTTGGAATGCATGTTCCGATTGCTCTGTATTAGTGCATATGTCTGTGGCTGGTGTCAGCAATGTTTTAAATTTTTTTATAATGGCACTGTTGCCATTCAGCTCACAATTGCCTGAGCTAGTGTGTGCCATGTTACTTATTACAGCAGTTTTTAACCCAGCAACAAACTTTCCAACTGTTGGGTTACTATTGGAGCCACAGTTGTAGCATATGCAACTAAATAAATTTTCCGGTGGGTCTGCTGGAGTCTTCTTGTAGACAGACTTTTAAATGACTTATATTTGTCACCAGGGATTCTCCAAATCATTTCGATGCCATTGAGGGTCCAAATCCATCCATCTTTTGATGGAGGATTACTCCTGCAACCTAAAAATTCAGAAGATTAAAAAAAATTTCATTCTATTGAACATTTGCAGATGTTCCGTAGAGTTTTTTTTGTTCGTCGAAAATTTTTTTCCTCTTCTTAGGTCTGGTGTCAACGCGTTTACACCATCAAACAGTTCATCCATATTTGTAATTAAATTGGCTGTTGCCACTGCTTCAGTCGGCATGTCTCCTAAAAATTCACAATAAACAAATAAAATCAATATAAGTAAACATATTTTCTGGCGTTTTTTTTAACCATTTTTAATCCTTGCTCAAACCACGATTAGGTAATAAAAAAGGCCAATATAATTACAAGACGGTTTCACCCTTTATAAAAGAGACAACCCCACATTAACATTCCGTTGAAACAAATTTGTAAGAAAGGGTGTTGTTAGCTTGTTGTTAAATGTTCATAAGTATCATGCATAATTATAAAAATGAGTTTGCTTTGAGTATTAAAGATGTCTTACTTTTAGCTATTTTGGAATATATTCCTGCTGCAACTGAGTGGCTTAAAACTTGTGCTGCAAGTTTTACCCATATTTTTTGCTCGGTATTGGGGTCAAGGTGCTCTTTAGTCAAGCATGGCGAACGTTGAGCTTAAGTCATTCTAGAATTGCCTGATGTGGCTCCATTTAGTGATTCCTGTAATTATTAAAAGTATTATGAATAATAATTATAAACTAATGTGCATATTTATTAATAAACAATTTTTTTAACTAAATAACAATGACTTACCAATTCCTTGTTTGTTGTCTGATGTTATATTGGTCCTAAACTTTACATCATATTTCATAAAAAGATTTCTGAAACACTTCAGCAGGTGTGGTGTGTCAAATATTGTTACAACTTTGTGATTGCTCACTTCTATGCAGGGATTCTCTACAGAAGCTCCTAACAGATCTAGAGCTTTATTGTTGACACCATCCAAGTCACAAACTGAAGCGCATATATTAAGTCCAGCATCAAAGCAAGAATTTAAGACCTGAAAGTATTTTAATGCAGATTATTGACATAGTTTAGCAGAGTTAAATAAACATGAACAACATTCAAAATGAAGAAGAACATACCTCCTTAATCAAAGCAGATAGTCTGTCAGTTGTGACAAACCCACTTGATAAATAATAAGCCACTGGCTGCTTAATTTGCTTCCTGACTCCAACTAACATAAGCACAAGGGCATATGAAGTTGCCTGTGGAGATCTACCTTGTGTACCATGGTCTTGGAAACCCTCAATATGATCCGCCTTCGAGTTGTACCATAAATTTTTTCTTAAGGACATTTCATCCCACAACAATATGTACTCTCGTTCGGATGGCCCAAAGTTTTTTGTTATGTTTTTCAACATGGTAAGTGTTGCTTTGTGTGTCCCCACATTCATCTGAAATCTACTTAAGAGGGATTTTAATGTGCTGGGTGCTGGTAAACAAATCATTCTCCTCAATAACTTGTAGCATGTTGGTGACCTTTTGTAGAGCCTCAATGCTATTATTTTAGCTTCCATGTTCCACCTGCGCTCAGGTTTCTTCCTCCTATAATTCTGCAGTTCTCCTTGCAGTAACAGTGCAAATGATGAACTCATTTTTTTATTGAGGATTTCTTTTATTGTTTGACTATTACAAATTTCATTTAATAACGCTTCATTTTTTAAATGTTTTATAGTTTTTTGTAACCTATATACTTTGTTCATGTTATTTTTCAGTTTCCTTATTAACATTTTGTTTTTCTGATCACCTTCTTGTTTTGAAGACTCATACACAAACATTTCTGAATCATTGGTTGGAGCAATAATGTTTGGATTATGATCTCTTAAAGGATATACTCTGGATGAACTAGCAATAGGTTCAAATATGGCAGGTTGATCTGGCAGATTAGAAATTGTTGTATCCTGAAAATGAAAGGTTAACATATTTTAAATAAAACAATTCTAATCCTTAAATTAAATAAGTCATAGTCAAGATAAGCAAATATGTATTAATATATAACTATATTTTATTTGGGCCCTTACAAACTTGTGAACTGAGTCATAAATCATTATTATCGGAGGTCTCTCTTACAGACCTTATGGAGACCATAATATTATGTGATCGTTATAACAATACTCAAACAGGTCTCGAAGCTTGCGGTGCTAAAGGTAAACCTGTGCAATATTTTATTGAAACTTTAAATTTCTGTAACAATTTAATCAAGTATATTTTTTATAGGATAGGGTGACAAACGAGCACACAGTCCACCTGATGGTAAGTGGTTGCTGTGGCCCATAAACATCAACATCTATCCTCGATTACGAATTAAAATGCAGATGCATTGTCACCCGTGAGGACTAATATGGAATGCCCCGTTTCCAGTAAAAAGGGTCTCCGGTTCTCTACACGCACCATACGAAACATAGCAGCATTAAGCTGCTATTTCACGGTGGTATTCTGTGAGAGTGTAGTCCTTCCCCGGTCGAGCCGACCCATTCGTGCTACAACTATACTACTAATATGTCTACAGCATGGCTCTACCATGTATAACACTTATAACCATTTACTTGATCTCTCATTGACTTTCGTTCGACTCATTGTAACGAAATTCTTAGTAGTGGTAATATTGATGATGCGGTCAACATAATATATAATATTCATGATAAATATGTTCCCCATCATTTAAACACAAAAGAAAATATCAACCATGGCTTAACCATGCACTTATAAAATTAATTAATGAAAAAAGTAAGTATCATAAGAAGTTTAAAGTACATGGTAATTTAAGTGATAAAAATACATTTATCATATTAAGAGAAAGAGTAAAGAGAATTGAAAAGGATCTGTATGGCAAGTATATTAGTAATGTTGAAGATAGCTTAAGCCATTCCAAAATGTTTTAGGCCTATATCAGAAATAAACAGAACAATACTTCATATACTTTTTGTATGACATACTCCGGTATATTTGCTAATTCAGGTGAAGATATTTGTAATCTCTTTGCTCAATATTTTAATTCTGACTTCATTCACTCAACAGTAAACCTAAATAATATAGCTTCTATAACTGTTAATGATATCTATTCTATCGAAATTATTTTTTGTGAATTAAAGAGAGGCTGCTAAAACTACTGGATTTAAATAAATCAGCTGGTCCTGAGGGGCTTCTGGCCATTTTACTAAGTGTGCCGAAATCATATCAAAACCTTTATCAATTATTTTTAAAAGATCTAATTCAGAGGGTTCAATGCCTGCAAGATGGAAATTTGCATTTATAACTCCCATTCATAAAAAAGGTGCTAAAAATCAAATTACAACATGGGTTTCTTCAAAAAAGATCAACTATGAAGTAAGTGGATGCTGTGGCCCATAGATATCTACATTGATCTTATATAAACTCACCATATGAAACACAGCAGTATTAAGCTGCTATTTTACGCTGGTATTCTGTGAGAGTGGTCCTTCCCAGGTCGAGCCGACCCATTCGCGCTGCAACCATAATATAGCTGTAGCATAGCTTTACCACATATAAAATGTACCCAAACCAATTACTCATTTGTGAAAGCTTCTAATTGGCTTACTTTGTGAATTACATTTTATACCATATATCATTAATTAAAAGCTGTAAGTTTTCCTGTTATAAATAAATAAATAAAGTCTGTATTTCTCTGCAATGTAAATAGCTTTAATATGCTTTTCTTCTTTCTTTTGTACTAACCTTATAGCATTGAACACCAGGTACAGCTGTTCTGAACAATTTCTTCTCATTAAAACATGTGCTTTCAAAATGTTTGCTGTAAAGCATCTTATGCTTTGAATGGAGTTCTTCCTGGAATTTTGGTGAAGGCTACTAACCAGGCTTCGTTTGGAAAGCAATACTTTGCCCATAATTCACAGCTAGAAATTAAACAAAATTAAAATTAAATATCATATTTTTTTTATTTTATAGGAGGGGCCCCCCCCTACATGCATACAGCTCACCTGATGGTAAGTGATTACCATCACCTATGAACAGCTGCAACACCAGGGGGATTGCACATGCGTTGCTTTTAAAAAGGAATAGGCTCTTTTCTTGAAGATATAATAATAATATTCTTAATTATTTTTATCTAGATAACAATCTAAACTTTCTGCATTTCTTTTGCTTGAAAGAGATGTATATAGATTTGCCAGGCCTTAAAACTAAAAAGCCGGACAGCCTTAACTTTTTAGTCACAGTATATAAAATATTTTTATTTAAAACAAGAAAGCATTGTTTTACTTTCAGTTACATCATTCACCATAAAATCTTCTTAAATTCTAATGAAATAACAATAAAATTGAATAAATTTGTCTTCTTTATTATTAATCATTCAATGTTAATTTCAATAATTGCAATGGCATGTATGAATGTCCATGGAAAATGTGAAAAAAATAGTTAAATTTAAAAATCCGGGTTTTCTTTAGTAATTGCTGCATGAATATATGGTCGCCGAGTGGGTGGGGGGGGAGGTTCCCCCTCCCCCTGAAAGGAAAAGTGCCGGAACCCCCCCATTTTTTTATGAATTTTTAATGTTTTGTTACATTTAAGGGAAATTCGCTTTCGTTTAACAAAAAAAGGGCGTCCGACGACGAAAAACTCACATTCGGGTCGGGAATATGGGTTCGGGAATGTGGGAGTATTCAGGGTGTGAAAAAACAGTGGGAATTAACAATATTTTCACTCTGATTCTGCTCCAGCACTGCAGGAAGTGCAGCCCTTTCGCCCTTTCGTAACTAAGCACAGGCACCTAGCTCACCTGCGCAGCTTCTAGCTTACAGCGGGCGAGGGCTGCATTCCCTCCGCGCTTCCGGATTTTCATATACACTTTAGGGGTAATAGCAGAATGACCACGTGGTACTTGGGGTTGACAGATTCGGTTTTGTGATTTATACCTTCTGGTACTATGGTTTGATCAAAAGAAACAAACAAATATAATATTATAAAAATAATTATCTATATACATGGTTAATTACTTTAATTAGTTCCATAAAAGGATCCTTTTTCTTTCTTTGCACCGACCTCCACAAATATTCTATAATAATATCTGAAAAGTTTTCCGGGTGGTAACAATTGTATTTACTGAAAAATCTTCTAACCACCTGCCATTGCGATTCGATTCTTTGAGTATGAGTGCCAACAGGGGCAACAAATGGGTTATCAGGATCGGAATGGTTCACCTTCTTGTGAATGTACCCATGTTTCCCCAAACAATCATAAGCCCTCCAGAAGTCGGTATGGAATGTGGTGCCATCAACCACATGTTTTTTAATTAGGGGAACCAGTACATCCGCTGACCTGATGTTTTCAGGGCACACCTCTAGTCGTAAATCCTCACTTCCATCCTCAATGAGGCAGAGGATCCAGTGGCCCTCAATCTGACTTCCTATAAACAACAATAAACAAATTAGAGTTAGTAAATATTCAAGATATTTATTTATTTATTTACTCTATATTGTACACCAAAACCCAACAGTACAAAATTACAAAAAAAAACAAATGCAAAAGTATAAAATTTTATAGTAGAATATGTACAACAGGCTGTCTTAACACTCTGAAAGTGATTTCTTCCAGATAGTGTGGCTTTAAAAGGTATTCAAATGTATTTATTAAAAGGTATTAAAACATATTTCGGCTTTAAAAGTAAACTTTAAATAAATATATTGTTTCAGTCTGTAATATAAGAAAATCAAATTACCTTTGTTATGTTTCCGTTTTCCAAATTTTCACTCGTCTAATTGGACTACGTTTCCTGGGCCACCAATCTTACCGATGGCCTCTTGTTGCTCTATTTGGTAAATGACGACTGTCTCCCGGCGGTAATTGTACGAATCGCAGACAGTCGCCATAGACAAGCTGCCTCCCTCCATATTATTTTCAGGGTCTTCGTGGATTGCATCTTCATAGCTCCAGCGATGCGCATAACAGTACATCAGATAGGATACCCGTGGCAATGACATTTTAATATTTTCAAACCAGGTGCCCTTGCCACGAGCTACCCTGGATCGGGCTCTGCAATTTCCTTTATTGCACACAAAGGAGCCCACATTTTTATTTTGCCCATATATTGTTATCTCTTTGTAATAATTATATTGTTATTTTGTTTTCGTATCATTTTTAAATGGATATAACCTCAAAACTATAATTGTCGATATCTCGAAAACTAAAGATTTCCGGCATAAAAAACAGCTAGATGGTGGTGATCAATAGCATCATTACCTGTCAAGTAAAGCTAAAATGATCACTTAAATCGTGCAGCAGATTACTAAAGCCGACCCAAATCCTAACAAAAGCCGTACACCATCTAATTTGGCCAGACGCGCAACCAAAAAGCCTGACTGTGTCCAGCTTTATCCGGACACAGTCAGGATCAAATACATTAGATATATGGGTTGGGTTTACAATTTGGTCACCTGAATTTGAAGATTCTTTCACTGTGGGGGGGTGAAGGGTGTTTATCTGAAGCACCCCCACTCGATTTTTGCTGCCAGAGTAGCGTAGTATTTTGAAATATTTTTTAAAAATATTGGTAAATGACTAATTAATTACGTTTTTGATGTTTCATCTGTCATTATCGCATATATCGCAAAGATCCTTTTTTACAAATAGTGGCGGCCATAAATTATGTTTATAATTTAAAGTAGATATAAAAGTTAATATTTTGGTGTTATATGGGGTGCAATAGCGAGCGAAGCGAGCTTAGGATGTGGAGCACCCCGACTCGGACAGGTTAGGTTAGAAGGAGATGATGGGGTCGAGTGAGCGAGGGAAGCCCAGTCAGCGGAGCCCTCTACTGCACCACGTTAAGTGGCATGGGGCTTCCGTCCCCCAACTCTCTCTCCCCACAAATCAGGTTAAAATTGTCATAAATTATGAAACATAACCTCAAAATGAGATTTTAAAAATTTATAAAAAAAAACTAAGGACATTCGGTAGGAAGGGGATGTAAGGGGTGACTCTACAACTCTTCCCCCTCCCCCCCACACCACCCCCCACCCCCTAATTCAGGCGACCGAATTGTAAACCTTACCCATCCCGTTTCATGATAAGGCCAAATATGGATGGCCATATCATGAAACGGGACAATTTTTTGAAATGGTCGACCACATCATGAAGTGATCAATTCTACGATATGGTTACGACATATATATTTTACGTTAGTATGTGGTAGTTAGAAGCTGGATAAACCAAAAATATGGTATTGTATGTCGTTTAAAACAAAGTAAATACCTGTGTGTATAAGGTATACATACCGCAGAGCATTTCTATTGCCAGGCCTTGGAAACAGATACAAAGTGATGCTGGAATCTTTAGGAGGTGAAGATCCACACATTATACATATTCTAGTATTTTCTTTCTGCGAACTTATCGCTAAAATAAACACAAATTCAAACAGGAGTCACTATTTCAACACCGAGTCTATATCTCACAAAAACACCTAATTTCACCAAAACACAGCCACGGAGGAGCAAACTCGACTCAACGTTAACAATGTATGTAGAATTATTAAATGGAACTAGTTTATTAATTACAAATAAACATAAATACAAGACAAAATGGTGCTCAAGCGCCGGCAGACATTTTTCTCGTGACGTCATAATCATAATCAAATATGGCGTGCGGACATTACTGTTGCCACACATTATTGCTTTATCTTTTTTTGTTTTTGTGTATTAATCAATTCAATACGTAATATTTCTTAGCAAAACATATTTTTTGGCATCAAAATAATAACAATAGCTATTTTTAAATGCAACTTACTTTAAAAATCAATTAATAAGCTCATTGTTTTGAAGGATACGAAATTTTTATTTTTGGTAGCAACATTATATAATTCATCTCTTTTACCTGATGTTGTTGTCTCTCTCTTGTTTCCTAGCCCACCTACATCTTGTTCGTAGAACAAAGTTGACAGACCCTTAATTTGTTAAAATTACGCAAACATATAATTTATATACAAAGAAAAATTCTTAAATATATGTAAGTAAAAGTAGGTAATAAATTAAATAACATTAGTTCATTATTATTATTAAAATTGTACGAATTTATTATTTTAAAGTTGCGGGTGGGAGCAAAAATAAACATAGCGGGTAGGAGACGAGCAATCGGCTCAGACTCAGAATGCAACGCGTCACGCCGGCGCCGTGCGAGGTTGTGCGAGGCAACGGCTACAAGTAATGTACAAACGTGCTAATGGAAATATAATTTACATTTTTGCATTAAACATCTATAATATATATGTTTAATGCAAAAATAATACAACTTCAAGTAAAATAGTAATCTTGTATTGCGTTTGCTCTTTTGTTATTTGAAAAGCAGTAATGGGGTAAGTACAAAGCATACGTAATCTTTATTTAAAAGGTAGCCATTTTGTACTGTTTGTGTAAAATACTTTATAAAATTTAATCGTTGACATATTGTGGAATTGTTTTTTAAGATTCAACAAATTATGATTCAAACGAATTGAAGTTACATTTTTCGTCGATAACACAAATCGGAGATATTTATTACGATTCCAAATTTTGCAATTTAGTTCTGCTCGTATAGAATTCGTAGGTATGTATTTGCGTAAAGAGCGACGATCCGGACGACTTTGTTAATTTTTAATTTAAACCGACTTCAAAAGGAGGAGGTTATGTTATATTTTTAACTTCCCAGTGGGAAGTTATTGTAATGGGTCCGATTTTGTAAATTGTAAATTTTAACGTATCTCCACGTGTCAAGGTCTTTAGAGCCGAATAGTATGGTTTATGTATGTATTGTAACTTGTAATTGTTGCAACTATATGTATGTTCGGATTCAATTTTCGCCTCGTGTATCTCGAGAACAAAGAGTGATATTGACATGGGACCAGTTTCATTTAACGCATTATTATGTAACTTAGACCTCATTAAATTTTGAGCAAAATCGGTCAGGTCGTTTTTTGTGCCGAATGAAAAATTGTATAAAATTTTAAAACGTATGAAGTTATTTATTCTTGCCACTGGGAAGTTAGTCGTGTGGACCTTTCGGGTCGCAACTAGACCGCTTTTTTATGTATGTTCGATTACAACTCCGTCATACATAGACGGATTACCAACATTTTTTTTTCGAAAGAGACTTCTTACGAAATGGTCCTATTTGAATTTTGCTAAGATCTAATGGCGAACTTCGGAAATAAACAACGGAACTCTTCAATAAAGCCAAAAAATCAAGCGCGACTGCTGCTGTCGTATATCTATGCATTATTTACTCAATCACACATTATAACATCACGCCTGTACTCTCTAAAGGGGTACGCAGATGTGTTCAGTGTACCACGGTTCAACTAATTTCTGTCAAAGTTGATATGTTGTTATATTTATCGCTTATATGTTCAGTAATTTAATAGCTCCATATTGTAGAATTTTCTAAACTAGTTTTTTCCTTGTTAATTATATACGTGCCGACTGCTTCTATAATTTGACACTAGTATTTGGTATACATGTACAATATTGGTCATATATTTTTAAACGTTAGAGTTACCGCCTATATACGTCCCACTGCTGTGCACAGGCCTCCTCTCACTTCTGAGAGGGTTTTAGGGCAAAGAAATTTGCGCCGCGCTGTCACAATGTGAGTTGGCGGACTTCACATGTCTTCGAAATATTATTTTTGCTGGTTTCCTCACGATGTTTTCCTTTACCGCAGAGTACATGGTAAATCAGCACTTAATAAACAACTGTCCCTAGTTGTTAATATGTTTTAGTGTTTTAGGCACCTTTATAAAAAGCCTACTTCTTTTTAAAAGGTCGGTAACGCATCTGCAATTCGCCTGTTGTTGCAGTTGTTCATTTTTTATAGGATAGGCTGACAAACGAGCACACAGTCCACCATGGTAAGTGGTTGCTGTGGCCTATAGACATCTACATCTATCCCCGATTATAAATCAAAATGCGGATGCGTTGTCACCCGCGAGGTCTAAGATGGAATGCCTCGTTTCCAGTAAAAAGGGTCTCCGGTACTCTACACTCACCATACGAAACACAGCAGCATTAAGCTACTATTTTACGCTGGTATTCTGAACGTGGTCCTTCCCCGGTCGAGCCGACCCATTCGTGCTACAACTATACTTCTGATAAAACTGCGGCATGGCTCTACCACGTATCATGGGCGGCGGTAGTCGCTCACCATCAGGTGATACGCATGCTCGTTTGCCCCCTCCTATAAAAAATAGTACTATATAACACCCATGATAACGGAGGTGGTCGACGTTGTAATGTTATATTTATTGATTTACACTTTATTGTAAACTTTAATAAAAGGAATGCAAAGGGCGGACTTAATGCCATTTGGCATTCTCTCCAATCCAACCCAATGATTTAAAGAAGAAAGTTTAAATTTTTATTACATTTACATACTACTTACAATGACATTGATGGTGTTCTCAACATTTCAGGAGCTGCAGGAGCGTCCACAAGCAGTGCCGGTGTGTGCGGATCTCATTACAGGTGAGTTCATTTCACTGAGCACATTTAAATCTCGTTTCTTTAGCAGTGTTATATAGTATAGCAGTGTTATATAGTATAGCAGTGTTATATCGTATAGCAGTGTTATATAGTATAGCAGTGTTATATAGTATAGCAGTGTTATATAGTATAGCAGTGTTATTTAGTATAGCAGTGTTATACAGTATAGCAGTGCTATATAGTATTAATTCAACTTAAGTTTCTTAATCAGAAAGATTTTTGTTAAATTGTCCCATAAGAAACAGCACTGTTGCCTGAGATACAAGCTTATTGCTTAGTCCAGGTGCAGATGCAAATATACAACATGTAACATAATTAACGCACTTTGAGAAAATAGTTTGTTCAGAATCGTTTACTGAATCGATTCCTATCATTTTTAATATAGGTAATTTTTTATCCCAAAAATAATTAAAACTACGTAAATTACAGTCACACTAAATCTGTACAGTCAAAACAAACTGAAATGGACCGTATCTTAAGGCAATAAGACTTAAGAGTGCAGTTTTATTTGTATTATTACTAATCTGTCATTCATAAAAATAAAGAAAAATGAACTATATTTCAAGCAAGTTAAAGTCTTTGCGTTCGTGGGTTTGTTGTGACAACATTCTTCCGGAATTAGTAATTTGATAAATAATCAGTGCATAAAAATGTTTAACTAAAAATTCAGTGTATGTATTATGATTATAACATAATATACTAATTGGGGTGTCTGAGGGTGTGCGTTAATTATGTTACATATTGTATATTGTTAAAAAAGTTCCTGAATAAAGAATAAAGTGTTTTTAGCAATCATTGTTTCCGGTGTGGGCGTGGTTTGTTTTTATTGAACAAGGGTGATAACCGGACACACAATCCACCTGACGGCAAATAAATGCTGTTGACCGTTGACATCAACATTTATCCTCGATAGGAAATTGAAAGTGCATATGCGTTGTCACCCGTGAGGACGCTGGTGCCTCCAGCCAGTACAAAAGGTGCAAAAGGTCTCCGGTTCTCTGAACTCACCATACGAACCATATCGTATTAGGTCTATTAGCTAGTACGAATTCCCCGAGTCGAGACGACTCGTTCGTACTACAACCTTAATATATCTGCAGCGCGACTCTGCTACGTATGAAAGGTCCATGTGTAATATCTTCTCTATACACATAATATTACAGCTTAAACTTAAATAACACGCAGTGATCATGCGCTGTGTTGAATGTTGATCCTAGTGAGAACACTAGGTCATAGTCATGAAGTAATTTTTTCATTCGTGTGTCTGTTAAATTTCGAATTATTCAGACATGACATATGTGGTAGAGGGTTGTGGCCGGCTCCGTGCTGCAGTGGCTTAGCAATGAGTGGCTGCGCTGGGGGCCGCGGGTTCGAAACCCGCACGGAACAAGCATTTGTATGACCTACAAATAATTGTTCCGGGTCTGGATGTTTGTACTTGTGCAATTTATGTTTGTAAACTGCCTCCACGATACAGGAAAAAATCCTAGTGTGAGGGTAACGTTTTTTAAAAAGGAAAAAAAAAGGTGGGTGAAAAATAAATTAAGGCGACACCGCGAAAATATGCACCTCCTTTCATCGAATAGTATAGGACTATGACACCACTAAAGAAAGTGGAATTTTGATGTAGGTAAATTCATGTCTTTATCTTGAATTTGATTGCTCAAAAACATGATTGTATGATTTTGACTCGATCATAATTATTTGCGAAAACACCTCTAAAAATCACTAGTTGAAATTGAAAGTACAACGATATTACTTAATCTATACGCTTGGGAATCACTCAAATATATTCATAACATCAATGTTCGTAATTTATTTGCTCATTATTTTGATTACTTAAATCAATAATTTAAAAAAATATTTTAAGATTCTGACAATTTCTAAGCGGTTTTATTCGTCGCGGGCGCTACGCAATTTCAGACCTTATGACGACGTTTTTTCAAGTGCTTATAGAAATTATGTATTCACTAGGATCAGTACGGCGATAGCCTGGAGCCAAAAAAAAACACTGCAGTTGCGAACCCGCCTGCCAAGCGTGGCAACTAAGTCAAATATCCCCCCTATTAGGCGATCTATGGGGGAGTGCCTATGTTCAGCAGTGAATTTTAATCGACTGTAACGGAAGGAACAAATGTTATGTGTATTAGGGTGGAGTGAAGAATGTTCACTATGGTACACCCGCATAAAGGTGGTGGTAGAGCCACGCTGCAGCTATATTGTGGATGCAGCAGGAGAGGTCGTCTCGACTGGGGTGGGACCACACTTTCACAGAATACCAGCATAAAATAGCACTTTAATGCTGTTGTGTTTTGTATGGTGAGTGTAGAGAACCGGAGACCCTTTTTACTGAAAACGAGGCATTCCATCTCAGTCCTCAGGGCTGACAACGCATCTGCGTTTTGATTCTTAATTGAAGATAAATGTGGATGTCTATGGGCCACAGCATCCACTTACCATTAGGTGGACTGTTTGCTTGTTTGTCACACTTATTCTATAAAAACGTACATACATACATACATTTATATAAAATCTATGTTTCAGCTAGTCGATGAGTGTTTTAAACATACGAAATACTATTCCAGTGAATTTTTAGGGGTCATAAGAACGAGGCTAAAAAAATTATCGAAAATATACTTTTTTCATAATTGCTAAGAGCTGGGGCATCTGAAACAATTATAATACATTAAGGGTATTTAACATACTTCATTCTGTCATCCAGAGGCAGCTTTTTACCACTATGATATTATTACAAATTTAATGATAAAAGTGAATCTTTATATATTTTTACTCCATTCTTACGTGTTTACCATTACTGTATATCATAGGTACGTGTCCGTAGATGTATATACTAAATAAGACTTAGCAGTTAAACTAAAAGACAATGGTTACCTTCCAACAGTAGGCATTTGAGTCTCGCACGGCGCGGGAGTTATTCTATTTTTACTATGCCGACTTATATGTATATTCATATAGAGATACATATACAGGTCAAGCGAAAATCGTTAGCGCGTCTGTTGGTGATCGTGTCTCCGATTAGTCATATTCACATACATCGTCGATTATCCGAACGTCTTCGAACTACCGCTTAACCGAACTGTTACTTCGGCACTTCATTGGGATGCGACAATCTTCTTGCTTCTCCACGCAGTGTCCCGTTTTGGCCTACATTCTGTACCGATAGCGCTATACGCTTATTTGTTGATTTTGCACTATTAGTTTAATTTTCCACTATTAGTTCACAATTTAAAATACCTAAATGTAAACTTTCCATAAAAGAGAAATACAAGATTAACAAACGATCAGAGAAAGCCGAATCTGCAACTAAGTTATCTAAGAAGTACAAAATGGTTAAGTCGACAATTACGGATATAAAAACTAAAAGACAACAATATCCAATTCTATATCCAAACATGATTTTACCGATGGGTCGACAATTTGTAAAACCATGAAGCTCGCCACGAACACTGACGCGTTTTTTTTTTTCTTTACACAAAAAAATAACAAAAAAAGACTTCATACAAGAGAAAATATCTCGTTCTTCACACTATTCTTCCAAATCAAATTAAGCGACGTATTAAAACAAGAAAATTATGTTTTAGAAAACGTTTACAATCCTGACGAAACTGGACTCAATTGGAAGGCTTTGCCACGAAAAACTCTTGCCTCGCGTCGTGAATTAGCGGCACCTTGTGCAAAGTAAATAATCGTATCAATGCTAGCTTGTATTACAAATGTAATAGATTAAATTTATATTACATGTTATAAATATGTTTTATTAGTATATTGTTCACACAATAATATAGTTCGATTATCCGAAAAACCGGTTTTCCGAACACCTGTGTCCCCCCATTAATTCGGATAATCGACGCTCTACTGTAATATATTTAAGGTTCATAGCTATACCGCTATATAAAGAGCCGTGGTAACTCAGATGGTTAGCACTCGCTGTAAATTTCTCTGTACGCGAGTAACCCGGGTTCGATCCCCGCCGGCACCAATGAAATTGTTAATTGCAATTTTAAGTGCTGATTTACCACGTGCTCGGCGGTGAAGGAAAACATCGTGAGGAAACCTGCATGTCAGAGAAATAAGAAAAAAAATTATTTCGAAGACATGTGAAGTTCGCCAACACGCATTGGGGCAGCGCAGCGGACAATTCTTTGCCCTAAAACCCTCTTAGAAATAACGGGAGGCCTGTGCCCAGCAGTGGGACGTATATAGGCTGTAACTTTTTTTTCATAGGTATTCCAGGATTCGATAGGTAGCACTATAGTTAAGTTATTAACAATTTTTTAATTTTATGAACATTAAATATACGCAATAAAAGTTGGTCAAGTTACCAAAAACAGCAGTGGTCGTGGTAGCGTAGAGCTTAAGTACTCGCTCTGTATTACGCAGTGCGCGTGATGCCTGAGTTCGATTCCCGCCTCCACCACTGAAATTATTAATTGACGTAAGAAAGAAAGAAACATTAATTAAAACTATTTTTACGTATTTTATGGCGTTTAATTTTAATTGATTTTTAATACACGACGTTTCGGGTGCTTTCCAGCACCCATGGTGACGGGGGATTGAGGTGACTGACGTCCCGATGTCAATGTTAACCCGGAGTACCGGAGTACCGTAGTAGTTCAGCTTATTGTTTATTGTCCGATCTATGCATGGTCGAAACGTCGAAATTAAAAATCAATCAAAATGAAACGCGATAAAATCTTAAAAGTCTTTTCAAAAAATCAAAAAATTTAATTCAAAGGGTACAAAATGCTAGCGCTCGTTACTGTTTTTACATCCCAAGGCGAACACATGTTACACCTTACCTTAATGCCTCTAATATGCTTAAAATGCAGGAACTTCTCAAATTATTTTATGCCTCCCTGCTATTTGGAGTGATAAAATCAAAGAAACCAGAAAACCTATATGAAAAGCTTCAGCGGAGACAAAATCAACATATGTACGGTATCCGAAAGTGTGCAAAAGTACTTTGCATACCTCAACACAGGGCATCAGTATTTCGTGGTAGTTACAAATTTATGGCCACAAAATGTTGGAATTATCTTCCACCACCATTACGAGTCATAACAAATAAGAACAGTTTTAAGAGAAAATACAAAGAGTATTTATTAAGTACGCAGAAAATGTCAAAATGGCACAATTCGGCAGGGGCTGAATATCCCATATTTAGTTATATGCAATTATGTAACTGACATTTACTACCAATATTCTTTTTTAATAACCATTACGTTGTTCTAGCATAATTATTATAATTAGTCTGAATAAATAAAACACTACTGTAGCTCTTACTTTTAATATTATTATTTTTTTTTCATGTTTTTGTTTATATTTCGTTTATTTCGTATATTAATTAACAATTTAGTAATAGAAATATTATGAAAACTTGTACTGGTTAATTATATAGTTCTTGTACTGACTGAATGAATAAATAAATAATTTAACACTAAAAGCTATTTGTAATATAATCGGTGATGTACGCGTACTGTTATACTTTAGCTCACTAAGTAGGTATATGGGTGCTGACAGAATAACAGCGTTGTAGATTCTCTGCAACACATGCTGAGTCAGAACCCTTTCATTGTCCTTCTAAAAATATCATTTTTGTATTAGTTTAACTTTTAAATATTTTATTACTTTTGGTCAATGAATAAATATTATAATTAATATTTTATATTAATCAATGTGTAGTGTTCGTGTTAATATAAGAAATCATTAAGAAAGAAACATTTATTGCAACACGCCATAAACATCATTAGGCACTTAAGTTTTAACATTTATTTTGTAGATACATCAAATAAAAATTGTATAACAAATTAAAAAAAGAAAAGAAAACAACAATTTGACATATTTATATGAGAATTTAAAACTATTTAAACATATTATAGATTACAATAAAAAAAAAATAAAAAAAAAACGATGCTCTTCTGTTGTGTTGTAAACTGGCTCTCTGGTACTGTATGGTAAACTGGCGAACTGAAGTCACTGAACTTACTAGACTTCAGAGCCGCACAGATTTTCAGTTCAGTTAAGTGTCGCACACTAGTATGTAGTGATCTGTGGTTCAGTGGGGTGGGCCCGAACGGATAGTAACGTATGGATGTCCGCGTGTAATACATAATACTTAATTTTATAAGGCCCGCCACATATACGGTTGTTATGACCCATAGACATCCACATTTATCCTCAATTAGGAATCAAAATGCAAATGCGTTGTCACCCCTGAGTACTAAGATGGAATGCCCGATTCCGTTAAAAAAGGTCTCCGGTTCTCTGTACTCCCCACACGAAACACAGCAGCATTACGCTGCTATTTTACGTTAGACCATCAATCTCTGGATACTGTACACATCAGACAGGAATCTTAGAACAATCATAATGGACGCGATAGTTTAGAGTTATGGAGTGTAGAAGTAAGGAGTACAGACTGTCTATTAAATAGAATCGTACAACTGACTTCAATATAAATAAAATGAGAACATGTTCAATATAGTCGAAGTCAATTAAATACGCATTATTAAGGATAACTCAGAAACTACCGGTCAGATATTGATCGAATTTATATGAGACCACATGAGAAGCATCAGCTTTCAATAAAATAAAAGAATTATCAAAATCGGTTCACGTAGAAAGTTAAAAAAATACATTCGAGTTGAAAACCTCCTCCTTTTTTAAAGTCGGTTAAAATAATCTCTTTAATCATAGTTTTGCCTGGAATGGATTTCTGTTTAGAATTAGGGCCAGCTAATTGTACTTTTATTTTATAGTTTGCTGTCAGTGTTTATGTAGGTATTATATTTATCTATACAATAAAAAGTATTAAAAAAGTAAAATATGTAAATATTGCCTTTCTACATCTATTTAAACTGTTAGATTTAGGCCTATTTAGATTAGTGAATACAAAACCTTCTCCACTGGTAGCCGCATACCAGTAAGGTAAGCATAGGATGGTCTCCACTAGAGTGATGACCTGATAAGACGTGCAGGAAAATACACATGGGTCAGGTATGTGTATGATGGCATTCCTTGAGACAGGTCTTTGTTTAGCAGTGGATTTTAGAAGAGGCAGTAACTTGCATATATTATACGTACGTCATTTTCATGTTCAATACTACATTTAAATCAAAAATTTAAAAAAAAAAAACACTACTGTAATAACATAGTTTTAAGTTTTCTCTTTAGCTTCTTCTACTTATTGTAATTAATTTCGAATACGAGTACTTTATATTGTAAATAACTTCAAGTTATTTACAATATAAAGTAAAATTCTCAGAGTAAAATCTCCTCATTTGTCTGTTCTTGGTGTTGAACTAACGAAACGTCGAAATAGAGTTACAAAAAAGTTTTCTTTTGCTGTCGGCAGTCCCAAATGAATGCAATTTTATCAGTATTTAATTGAGGTTTGTGGGAGACTTGTACACATTCAATTCACATATAACAATACACGTACACTATACATGGAACTAATATATTTTATACGTGGCAAAGCCATGCTGTAGTTATATTAGTATAGTTGTAGCACGAATGGGTCGGCTCGACCGAGGAAGGACCACGCTCAAACAGAATACCAGCGTAAAATAGTAGCTTAATGCTGCTGTGTTTCGTATGGTGAGTGTAGAGAACCGGAGACCCTTTTTACTGGAAACGAGGCATTCCATCTTAGTCCTCACGGGTGACAACGCATCTGCATTTTGAATCGCATACGAGGATAGATGAGAGGTGGACTGTGTGCTCGTTCGGTTTAAAGATCTTTATTTCTCAATAAGACAATCGTCACTTACAAGAGAACAATAACTATATAAATTTAGTAATAACAATTTTTAGTGCGGGTATAAATAAAACTTTGTTGGATGTCGCTTTTAAGAAGAAAATATCTTTGTTGCTTATTCAAATTATAAGGTGGTGGTCCAAGTTGAATAATGTTTTTTTTAACTTTTATTTAATAATGATTTAGGTTAGGTATTTAGCTGCTGTGAGTATAGGTAGGCAAGTAACTTCTGTTTGAAAGCATTCAAAGATTTCGCCTCCTTTACAAATTTAGGTAGTTTGTTGTATAACCGTGCTCCTTTATACGTTATATTATTTTTATCATAGTTTGTTCTATAAGAACTATAGGCTAGTTCTTATAGGCGGCAATACAAGGTGACTAGCTCGGCGTGTTATATATTTGTTTGTTTGCTTCTTTGTCAAAAACGTGAGTTGTGTGTAGATTAATTTATGTTTTATTTTGTATATTAGTATGCATGTGCTATATGTATAAAGTTGAGTAACGTTGAACAGTTTACTCTCTTTATATATTGTTTTAGTTGGTGTTAAAATCTCGTTTGTCACCCTATCCTATTAAAAAAACCGCTGACGCAGCCAGCGGGCAGCCAATGCTTTTACATGTTGCCTTATACGGTGCGTTAGCTAAAGGGCTGCCGGAATCGAACCTATCATACGCCAATCAATGCCTTGGTGCCTAGACTAGTTACTATGTTATTGCCTATGTGAATGTGGAGAAGTCCCATATTGATTAGTGAAATAGCTCCACAGCTAAGGGTAAGTAAATAGGAAATGAAGGTTTCAATTCAACTATTTAGCCGGCAGTCTCTTTTTTACCTTGCTTAGTAGCTTTATTATATTGCTTGATTCTTTGAAAGTGTCAAAAATTAAACTTTTAATAAAAAAATTAAGCCAAAATCAAGACTTAAAAACATTTGAGTGAAAAGAATAAAATCCTTTCCAAATAACAGGTGTCTTAGCAATCACTTCTGAAGCTGTTGTGTGAGAATGATTTTGTTCTCGTTTGTTTTTTGAAGTCTGCTTTGATATAGTAAATGTTTTATTTATGGAGTGTAGAGGTAATGAGTACAGACTGTGTATTAAAAAGTGTCCATAGAAAACCGTTAAATAAGGGTGGCGCCACTATAGCTACGGGGTAAATTTTAAAGAACGCACCGAAAAATATTAGTGTGATAGACGACATGTTCGAGGTTATATTTACTAAATAAAATTATTTTAGATTTTAGAGCTACTGAGCAGTTTAGCAGCACACTTCACACCGTCGACAACTGCTAAGTTCATTTCATGTAGCTGTTTCCTGTAGCTACTCCAGCGCTGTTGTGGAGAGTTTTTGAACTGTTATTTATTGCTTACAGATGGACACTTTTTCAACTATTCTCCTATGAGAGATTGTTCTCCTTACTTCTACACTCCATAGTTTTATTGTTAAGTCGCCGCGCCGTGTGCAGCAATTGACTGATTGGGATTCCATACAAATTAATAAAATTAAAATCTCTGTCTGTAATATAAAATAGCTGACTTCTGTTAAGCTCAGGGCAGGAGGTTACTTGCATACTATTAGGACATAAATAACCATTTGTTACATTTTTATCTGTCGGTCAGTCTGTCCGAGTGCGACACATCTTTACGAACATTGAGAGCAATGTCTGGAGTGATCCAGGCCATCTATATTGTATCCGGAAAATTAGATTATTAAAAAAAAACTAACGAAAAGTTTATAATGTAAATGTTCTTTGATTAATAATATAAAAAAACTTATCGCTACAGTTGATAACAATAACGCTCAAAATATAATTGAACATTACAAATATCGTGAGCAAATACAACATGGTTCCAGGTCCATGAACAGCGGTGTCGGTGTCGACATTACAACGTGGCTCGTGCTGCTGCAGGCGGCGGCACAACGTGATGCAGCGCGACTGTACGACTGCACAGCTGTACAACAGGTCGGTAACGTGTCCAACAACAAAATATTTATCTTTTTATTGTTTTAGTTTATATAATAATAAAATATGGGTGACAAACAAGCACACAGTACACCTGGCAGCAAGTGCACGCCGTGGCCCATAGACACCCACGTGTAACATTTCCAGTAAAAAGGGGCCTCCAGTTCTCTACACTCACCATACAAAACATCAGCATTAAGCTGCAATTTAACGCTGGCATTCTATGAGGCGACCCATGCTACAACTATAAATGATGTTTTATGGATGTAGATGGTGACGATTGTGATGATGTCCCTTTGCTCGATTTCCGACCTTATTGCAACTGCCACAGTAATAGTAATTTGTCAACTGCGCAAGAGAATTACAAGAAATAGTTTTGTCTTTTTGGAAAATTGAAGTGACAAAAGGATTACAGTCTACCTGATGATAGATGGCTACTTCAGCCCAAAGTAACCTGCAACCGTTACAGCCTATTAAACTCCACTGCTGAAAATAAAGCTAGAAAATTTCCAGATGCCTACATATTTCATATATTTCCAAAGAGATATATAGAGAGACTAAAAATAAGTAATTAAATACATTTCTATCAGTTTTAGATTTAACTGTCTATCTGTCTGTCTATTTTTTTTACGTTAAGAGTTACATTTAGTCGTTTTTTTTTTATTAAAACCGGTTCTTTCCATCAAAAGTTACGATTAATATTCTATGTGTACGAAATATGGTCCTATATGCGGAAGTGCATTTTAGTCTAATCTCAGAAATCGTGACTAAGTAATGTTAAATGATGTCCTTTATTCATATACTTGTAATTTAAACACATTATACAAAAAAAATTGACTGCCTCGTTGGTCTAGTGGTTGTAGGAGTGCGACTGCTGATCACGAGGTCCTGGGTTCGAATCCGGGTTCGGCCCAAAAAATTAATTATTGAGTTTTTCCGTCAAGAAATTCTCAGTAGCTGCCCGGAGTCAGGAAGTTGGCGGTGTCTCACCCTCGAGCCTCGGAATGCACGTAAAGCCGTTGGTCCTGCACCTGATCTCTCTCCGGTCGTGTTGGTTTACCGTCCCATCGGATTATGAGAGTGAGGGAATAGAGAGTGCACCTGTGCTTGCGCATACACTTGGGCACTACAATCCTGTCCTGCGCCGATGGCTAGTCTCCGTTGAGGCATGCCGCCGTGGCCGGAATTCGGTCTGGAGGACGTTATTATTATTATTACGAATTAAAAATAATCATAAATATAAACGTTATTCCATTTTAGTTAGAAATAGTACAATAGTTACCAGTTTGTTCGATAGATGGTGCTGTGCATATGTAACGCAGAAGATATATTTTCATAACTACTGCTGATTTTTATGTGACTCGTAAGCGGTGTAGCTCATTATAGCAATTTGACCTTTATTAATATTTTTATTATAATGGATTTCCTCAAAGTAACGCCTGATTCTATCAATGATCTTACTCTATTGAGTAGACTAAGGAATGTCATAACGTCAAGGTGACAACTAGAAAAGTGTAATTAATATATGTTCAAATTGAAAAATATGTATTATATGCAATAGATATCGTTTGATACACTTTAATTCTGTTTCATAATGTAAACACAATTCATCAACTAATAATTTCCTTGGTGTCGGCTGGGATCGATCCCGGGTTGCTCACGTTTACGGCGCGCACTTCGCCCTTGAGCTACCACGGTTCATATCTTTTTTGTTTCTATTTTATAATAACGTTACCTCCACAGTAAGAATTTTTCCTAAGTATGTCGTGGGGGCAGTTAACATAAGAACATAAATTTCACATGGACAAACATCCAGACCCGGAACAATTATTTGTAGGTACACAAATTTTTGCTCCGTGCAGGAATCAAACCCGCGGTTCTTAGAGTTTAACGACGAGTTTAAGACGTCAAATATATCTTTTATTATGATAAATATTTTAATTATCTTACTATTAAATAAACGTATAAAATTATTAATTGCACATATTATCTAAACCGCAGCATGTAAGTTAGGTACTGTACTGATTACTTGTAAAAGAATGAAATAATAAATGATCGTCGAATTAACGCCATCGATGCATAGCGCAACACGGCGATGGGCATCAGGCAGCGAGGAAAAAAACCGAGACAACATGATTGATATTGATATCTTGCCATGCCAACAAATTACGCGCAAAGGTTAATTCTTTGATGTTGCCTATTTAGTTCGAGCTTGGTGGGAAAATATGAAATTGTCAAAGTATTTTAATGTAGTTACAGCTTACATATATATATATATATATTCAAATATGCTGTCAAAGTGATCGATTTAAATACAAACTAGGGAGGTTAGTAAAAATTCGGAACATTTGGCGTACCGATCAACAGTGGATCGGAACGTGGCACCAGACCCCTGAAAATCGGGACGTCCCGCGCAAAACAGGACACTTGGCAACGCTAGTTTACGCTATCGGTGTAAATTAACAACGCGAGCGGTGGCGGGAAAAAGTGATACGATCTATGGTACTGTATGGGACGGAGTCTGCACGTTATGATTTATATTATTTATAGTATTTATAAAATAAATTATATTAAATAATTGACAGAATAAAACCAGCCAAAGTTTTTTCTGGATATTTAATATTTGATAAATAAGTATTACCCGTATTTTGATAAAATAATTAAAATCGATAAGTTTATATCAAAGTACACGGAAATTTTTTTTGGTGATTTTGTAGGATTGTTTTTTAATATCAAATCGAAATATTTTCGTAATTTAGGCTTTGAGTTGCATTAAAAGGCTATATATTACATTATAATAACGCTTAAAATAAAGTATAATAGCTTATAATAATTGTTGTATTAGACAAGAAAAATAACGCATATTTTCGTAAAAAGTTATTAATCTTTAAATTTAATTCCAGGTACACGAACGATGTTGTGGGTGTCGACAATACAACGTGGTTTGTGCTGCTGCAGGCGGCGGTAGAATGTGATGCAGCGCGACTGTACCACTGTAAAACTGTACAGCAGGTCGGTAGCGTGAACAACTAGATAGATATCTTTTTATTGCTTTATTTTATAGAATATGGGTGACAAACAAGCACACATTACATCCGATGGCAAGTGGATGTCGTGTCCCATAGACACCTTCAATTAACGTTGCCTGTAAAAAGGGTCTGCGGTTCTCTACGCTCACCATATAAAACATAGCAGCATTAAACTGCTATTTGAAGCTGGTATTATGTGAGGCGACCCGTGTTACAACCATAAATGATTATTATGAATGTAGTTGGTGACGATTGTGATGATGTCCCCTTGCTCGGTTTGCGACCTTGTTGCAGCTACCACAGTAATAGTTATTTGTCAACTGCGCAAGAGATTTACAAGAAATAGTTTTCTCTTTTAAAAAAAAATCAAGTGTAATTCAAGTGTAATTAATAATTATTAATACAAATTACGTAAAATACTAAAGTACGCAATCATTTTTTAAAAAAAAAGGAACTTAAAATCGCATACTAAACATAAAAATTTAAAAAAATTCAGGTTGATGTAATAGTAAGTCGCAAGATTTACAAGAAATAGTTTTCTCTTTTTAAAAAAAAAGTTTAATTCAAGTGTAATTAATAATTATATATTAATTACACTTGAATTACATAATTTGTATTAATATATTTATTAATATAAAATTACGTAATTTATATTAATAAATATATTAATACAAATTACGTAAAATACTAAAGTACGCAATCATTTTTTGAAAAAAGAAACTTAAAATCGCATACTAAACATAAAAATTTAAAAAAATTCAGGTTGGAGAACACAAATGTAATAGTAATTTGTCAACTGCGCAAGAGATTTACAAGAAATAGTTTTCTCTTTTAAAAAAAAAAAAGTTTAATTCAAGTGTAATTAATAATTATATATTAATTACACTTGAATTACATAATTTGTATTAATATATTTATTAATATAAATTTACGTAATTTATATTAATAAATATATTAATACAAATTACGTAAAATACTAAAGTACGCAATCATTTTTTGAAAAAAGAAACTTAAAATCGCATACTAAACATAAAAATTTAAAAAATTCAATGTTGATTGATGAACCTGGTGACTTTCTATCAATCTGGCTAAATATGTAATAGTAAATTTGTTAACTGCGCAAGAGATATAAAAGAAATAATTTTCTACTTAAGTAGAAATCTCTACAGAGTAGTTTCTAGAAGTAACACAAGGATTACAGTCTACCGGATGGCAAGTAGGCTACTTGAGCCCAAAGTAACCCGCAACTGTTACCGTCACCTTACAGCACATTACAATCCACTGCTGAACATAGGCCTGCCCCTTAGATTGCCTCGTAGGTTGGATATTTGCCATAGTTGCCACGCTTGGCTAAAGAGTTGGCAACCACATTTTTTATATTCAGCCGTTATTTTTACAGCGTTTAATTATACCGGTACCTATGCGGACGAACAAGCTAGAAATTGAATCAGTCCTACCACTATTTGTATATTCATTTACACTGTCTCTGCCCCGTTGGTATAGTGGTAGTAGACACGACTACTAACCATGAGGCCCCAGGTTCAGATCCTTTGCCGGACCAAAAAAAAATCAGTTGTTGAGATTTGTTCAAATTCTCAGTAGCAGCCCGGAATCGAGAAGTTGGCGGTGTCTTACCCCCAACAACTCTGGCACTGCTGGTCTGCTCAGATGGCTCCCAGTCTCCGTTCAGACTGGAACGTCCTAATTCTGTCTGGAAGACATCATTATAATACTCTCACAAAGACACTCGTCATTATGTATCGTTAAAGGTAATGGCAACAGAAGCAAATCAAAATCCAGCAATTCGTATTTTGCATCAATATTTGTTCCCTTCTCCTCTACCGGCCTGCAAAACTGCACTGCTAAACATGTTTACTCCTGTTCCGTTGGATTGGATTGACTTTCCTTAACCTTTGATACTGACGCCTGTCGCCGGTCTGTTTGTTGACGTGTGACCTAAGTAGATGGTTATGTCGCCATCTAGCGGAAGCTGTAAGCTCTTTCCGCCGTTTCACGTATCTTCCCGTACTATAGGCGACATATGGAAGCTGAAACAGGAGATGGGCAGCAGCAGCTTCCTGATAACGTACTTAAAATTATAAGAAACTGCAGTTGCCCCCCCCCCCCCCACTCCCCGCATGCAAGCTTGGCAACTATGGCAAAAGACCTCCTATGAGGCAATCTATGGAGGAGACTTATGTCATGCAGTGGACTTTTATAGGCTATGATGTGATGCGTCGATGAACAACACATAAGTGACGGCATGAGGCGATAGACCCCAAGCCGTCATGACGCGGCAAGTTTACTCTCCAGTATCTGTGAATGAAACTTCTCATTTTAAATCCGATAGTTGACATTGTTGCGTAAAACCTATCGCTTGTAGGATGTTCACATATTTTTTTTTAATAAGATAGGGTGACAAACGAGCACACAGTCAACCTGATGGTAAGTGGTTGCTGTGGCCATAGACATCTACATCTATCCTCGATTACGAATTAAAATGCAGATGTGTTGTCACCCGTGAGGACTAAGATGGAATGCCTCGTTTCCTGTAAAAAGGGTCTCTGGTTCTCTACACTCACCATACGAAATACAGCAGCATTAAGCTACTATTTCACGCTGGTATTCTGTGAGAGCGTGGTCCCTCCCCGGTCGAGCCGACCCATTCGTGCTATACAACTATACTTCTAATATAACTGCAGCATGTCTCTACCACGTTTAAATATTAGCAAGTACGTAAAATAGATCAGTGATTTTGTTGATGTATGATGACACAGGAAGACATCTTCAGCACCGTACCTACAGGTGTTCAAACTGCGGTGCTCCCAACGCCGCTTTGGGTATTTCAAATATTTCTAATATTAAATGGCAAAAGCGCCCTCTATGGGATTTGATGATGTCTTTTCCCACAGTCGTCTTTTACGACACCAATTATATGAAATGTAACGCCGTCTACACACTGCGGGCAAAGAATATATACACTACGCGAAAAGAAACGACACTTAAGCATGTGTGCACGTAAAATCGCTTGCGGCTATGTGTGGGTGTCTGGATGTGTGCGGGGGCCTTGAGAAGCGCGCGGGGCGTGGAACGGGCAGTCGCCGACTGCCCTGGCCGAGGGCTAGTAGTAATACCGATATTTGTCAGTATTAGTTGTTAATATGAATATATTCGTCAAGTGACGATTATATTCATATTAATTAATTCAAATAACTATTTCAATTAATATATGAATATTACTGATATCTTAATGTACATATTACTATTCTATTCATGTAGGTATTAAGTTTATGTTACCAAGTAACTTTATTAGTTTTTATAGCCATGTATTCTAGGTTTATATGCTTTTATAAATATTAATGTTGTTATTTAATAAATGATATTATAGTATATGTATAAGTATTACTGAAAGTGATTTTAAGTGATTAGAATTAAAGTAAATACCACTGCACAAAAAAAAGGGCCCTTGCTTTGTGAGTTTAATTTTTAATAATGTTTCATGATACCTAAAAATATGTGAACTCATTTTAATGAAAGTCGATATGATCTTAACAAGAATTATGGGAAAATACCGTTACAATAAAACTAATATGTCGCCAATAATTTTATTATATTACATTAACTGAAATATACACTATTAAAAATACCACTAGAGAGTCAAGAAATTTTAGATATCTATAAAGAGTTTTTGTATTTGTGCATTGTTGTGTTTATGGATTATTTCATTAGAAATAGAAATGACTTATCTCCTCAACACATAGGGAACAATTTGTTGGCCGCCATGTCCCAGGAAACCTGCATACCTTTGGATTTTCTAAAAAAAATATACATGCTACGAATTTTTGCAATTGTTAGAAATAATGATGAAAATTAAAAAAAATTATCGAAAAATTCAAAAATATATAAGAGTAAATTATTTTTAAAGGATAGTAGGTAATACTGATTATTGCGTACTGAAATACTAAGTGTTGGTTAATTATTTAAGATTACCATTAACTGTCGTGCATATTTGGTTTTGTCGGAAGTTTTAATATTCCTCATTTAATAAAAGTTGATTTAAAATTGAACGTGTCTTTCACTACCCAAATACATAAGTTTACATAATATATAACACATACCTACTATGTATCTTCTTTGGTACAAGTCTATAATATTCCATTTCGGTTCGATATCTCTCACGTACAGGGAGTGTCACCGCTGTACTGCGGTCATCCCACGTTTCTCAAATGTTAAGATAGCAATTCTTGTATATATATATATATAATCGGAATTTTGGAAACGGCTCCAACGATTTTCATAAAATTTAGTGTCCAGGGGGTTTCTACAATATCGATAGAATAAGAAGGTAAATTTTGACAGAGTATTATCGATTATAAATAGCTCAATTGAGAAATCGGGCGGTTATCATATCATAGAACCCTGGTTCGAGGCCTGTCTTCAGACCGACTTTTTTCATTTTTTTCCAGTTCCCTTCTTTTTTGAGAAGATCTATTATTTCGAGCCCTTTTTTAGAATTTTTTAAAAACACGAAAATTTAAATTAAACTAATTGCACTAATTATTTTTTATTCAAATAACCAGTTCAGTTTTTTCTATTATGTCGCTAAGATCAAAAAATATTATTCGTATTTCATCAGTATGTAATTTGTATCTAAATATGATTTCCAAAACACGAATTAAAATAAAAAATACCGAACAAAGCTCGGTCAAACAGGTACTATATCCAATACTCGCAATTTGTTAAAAGTCAACGAAGAACTAATTCCAAATACGTAATTATGTTTTTATAATCCCCGACGAAAACAGAGGGGTGTTATAAGTTTGTGTGTGTATATATGTGTATCAGTGTGCCTGTCTGTGGCATCATATCTGGTGTTATAAGTTTGTGTGTGTATATATGTGTATCTGTGTGCCTGTCTGTGGCATCATATCTGGTGTTATAAGTTT